TTCGGTTGGCTCGGTGGGTAGGTGCTTCAACTGGCTCGGTGGAGAGGTGGTGGGGAGGTGCTTCGGCCAGGTCGGTGGGGAGGTGGTGGCGAGGTGTTCGGTAAGGTCGGTGGGGAAGTGCTTCGGCCGGTCGGTGGGGAGGTGGTGGGGAGGTTCTTCGGCCAGGTCGGTTGGGAGGTGGTGGGGAGGTTCTTCGGTAGGCTCGGTGGGGAGGTGGTGGGGATGTGCTTCCGCCGGCTCGGTGGAGAGGCGGTGAGGAGCTGCTTCGTCCAGCTCGGTGGGGAGGTGGTGGGGATGTGCTTCCGCAGGCTCGGTGGAGAGGTGGTGGGGAGGTGTTTCGGTAGGCTCGGTGGGGAGGTGGTGGGGAGGTGCTTCGGACCGCTCGGTGGGGAGTTGCTTCGGCCGGGTCGGTGGAGAGGTGGTGGGGAGGTGCTTCGGCCGGCTCGGTGGGGAGGTGGTGGGGAGGTGCGGCTCGGTGGGGAGGTGGTCTGGGTCGGAAGAGCTGCGTGGACCTGGTTTGGACACCCAAAGGCCTGCATGCTCACGAAAAGTAAGTCTTCTCTTCGATGCTTTCCTGCTTGTAATCAAGGTTGTTCCATCTAGGCCAAGCTCCTCTGTCCAGTTTGTTCCAACGCGGCCGATCTCCTCTTAATCAAGTGTTTATTTTTGCATCGCCTGCTTGATTGGTTGATTGCTTCCTTCTGTTAAGATTGATCAGTTCATGCTGTCAACTTGCTGGATTCAGTCGATCACAATGCACATTTGTGAAACTTTCTGATTTAGTAGTAGTGCTGCTCATGCTTTTGGCATTGCCACCCTGATTCATTTTTGAACAGGAAGTGTGCATCGTGCTGGTACTCATGTTAAGCCAGGTAGGGTTATGCTTTTTCTTTTTTTCCTATCAAAGAAATATGCATTCTTAAATTTTAACACATTGTTGCATTGGTATGATTGTGAGATTGTAATCACAGGTGGATAGGTGGATTGAGCATGGTGTTTGCACTTATGTCACCCCAGATCCCATGATCTCGGATTGAATTGAATTGTCTCCTGAAGGTTTAGGTCCTTGAATAAGTACCTGCTCAGGCAATCTGGTGCCGCGTGGATTCTAAAGTCCCGGGCTCACTATTGACACCGAGCATGAATTCAGCTCTGACTTCCTGTCCATGTATATGCCAGCTGCCTTCTTGAGACGTGGACAGTAAGCGATGATGATGGCTATGACTGTGTTTATTGCAGATTTGGTCAGTGGCACAGCTCGTTCTTCGAATCATAATCCTAATCATCATGCTTGCCACCATGTGTCACATCAAGGTCCTTACATGACAATTACCACTGTATAACTAAACTGTAGGAGTTGATTGTTTCAAATCATGTACAGCACACTCTTCACATTATAATCCTCACATAATGCTCCCACCACACTCTTGTTTCACATTAAGATTGTCACGTGGCAATTACCATTTGCAGAGTCAGACTGTAAGCGTTCAGAGTTTCAACGTCATGCCTTTGCTCAGAGAAGTTTATTAGAGATCATGGTGGTTGCATGTACCTGTTACGTGTCAAGTAGTGCATGTGTTAACATCGTGATTCCTTGTACCTGTTACATGCCTGTCTCTTATACACATCTAGATGTGTATAAGAGACAGGTGGTTGCATGTACCTGTTACGTGTCAAGTAGTGCATGTGTTAACATCGTGATTCCTTGTACCTGTTACATGCCTGTCTCTTATACACATCTAGATGTGTATAAGAGACAGGTTATATGTTGTCCTTCCATGCATTAATAATCAGATTCCTTAATGATAATGAGAGAATTAACGGTTCAATTCCACGAAGCTTTTTGAAGCTTACCAACCTTCGGATATTGTGAGTAAATCTTCTCCTTCCATCCCTCACTTACTGAAGCATGTGTCTCTCTTGGAGTGTGGAATGGTGTCTGTTCATCAGACTTCATCTCTACTCTTAAAATGAAGGTGTTGGTGACCTGCACACATGTTACGATAGATATGGTGAGCATCACCTGTGAAAAGCCGCTGTTATTATCCGTCAGTATCCCATGTTGAAATGCACATGTTTGGACCTTGAGATTGGATGCAACATGGCATTGCCTCCAATAGATCAATCGGGGAAAAAGATGAGAAATTAAGGAGTATCAAGCTCCAACAATAGAGTTCTCCGAACTTTTCCCCCATCTGGACACCGCTCCTCGTCCTCCTCATGACTCCTCTTCTCAGTTTGTTGAGAACCGAGATCAAAGACTCAAAACAAAGAACCAATCAACAGTAAATAATAAATGTCCGAGTATCAGGCCTGGCAGCCACAGCCAGAGAGATTTTAACACCATGATTATCCCAGTTTTAATCATGATGTGGCACTCAAAGTTTAAGGCACGTACATGACTTGCAGCACAGATGAAAAGTTGGAGCGAAAAGAGTGAAACAAGTGAGGAAAGGAGCAATGTCAACTTGCCTGCATCTTTCTGCCATAACATCAACTTCATATTGCCTCCTCCTCCCTTTGGTCAGTGAGAAAGAAAGAATACATGATTGAACCAAGAATCAATGCCAAGTGGATATCCCTAGCACATGCTCTTGAAAATGAACACGCTGCAGCTCTAATTTCCTTGGTTGCACTGCTACGTCCAGCATGCCATCCAGACCACTTAAGCACGATGTATAGGAGACCATACAAAAGAACCCTCTATCTCCCCGACCGTCTTCCCCTGAATATAACACATATGCGTTGTAAATGAGTACAACGCATGGGTTGCTTTCTATTCAAATACAACACGTGCGTTCTATTCGAACAGCCCTTTAATTCGAATACAAAGCACATGCTTTCTATTCGAACAGCCCTTGAATTCGAATACAAAGCATATGCGTTCTATTCGAACCAACAAACTTCTTTGAGAACTTGCATCCAAGGCATATGGGTTATGTTCGGGGGACAACGGTAGCACAGCATGGCCACATTCTTGGGTGGTCTCCCCTCAGAAGAACCTAAAAGTGTCTTTTTGGGGTCGCCACACATAGGGGTGACAACTGTAGTCCAACGTAGCCAGAGGTAAGTCTCCATCATGGTTGCCCTCGTCTTCCTGCTCTTGGTCAACTGAAGCTCTGATTCTCCAGCATCCCACTCCACCTCGATAGCCATGGCAGTTCCTTACCTCCGAGCTCCCTCTTGTACTCCCAGCTGCTCAGCTTCTCACCCTCAGGGCGTAGCAGTATGATGATTGTTGAGAATATACCAGCATGACCATTTGATTGATGGCGAAGCTCTTCCTTCACCAGTGGCTGTAGGTCCTAGCAGCCTTGCCTCCAAGCCTACCAGCCCTCTAAACAGGCGGAATATCATTGTAGATTCAATGCAGACTGTAATCTCCCTTGAAACCCGATGTACCTAACAGCACACCAGTCTCATGCCAGTGCGGTTCCATCATTACACCCACWGGTAAGCCTACTGCATACAGGGCCTCTCCATGTTGCTGGAAAACCCACACCGATTCCCTGCAATTTTACCTCTTTCTCCTTGTCTGTCCTACTTCTGTACCTATGTGTGAATGCTAGGACAAGCTTTAGTCCTATGCCTCTAGGATCCAAACTGCAGGCCAATCCTTTCTGTGGCCCAAGTCCAGTCATGGCCCTCGGGTAAGTATCCCGGTACAGAAAACACATGAAATTTCAAAATTTATGAATTTGTCCCAACAAAAGTCGATGCACCTGCTCGAGTTTCAATTCTTCGTTTCTTGAAGAAAAAAATTCTACAGTCTGACTGCATATGGCATTCCTTATGATGCACAGCACCAATGGTCCCAATCTAAAGCGCCCTTCTTCCATTGATAAACAAAACTGATAGTTACAATCAATAGAAAGACCATAGATCGAAATACAAACAATCCTAGTATGTTSAAAGAAAGTTAAGAAACTGACCAAGGAAATAAA